TCGAGTGTACAAGAGAGGCAACCTCCAGAGCACTCCATCATAGAGGTTGTTTCTAGAAAGAAACTCGCGAAAAACTTCCCACTCTCATTTTCACTTTATGCTTTCCACGTCCCCCAGTCCTGGGAAGTGTACAAGACTTCCCATCAAGCATTGGGGTAGAACGGAACAACTTTACATAGACCTGCAGCGCAGAATTAGGGAGTGACATGTCGGCTAACTGGGCTAGTCCGTCGTTCAAGTAAATCCGAGCGGTTTTCGAGGTGGCCCACCGCCCCTGGACTAGCAATCGATCAAATGATCCGTGCTGGTTAAACCAAAACGTGGCCCCGCCTCTCCTGAGGCTGTAGGGTCTAAATTCCAAGGGACCCAAACGCAATGCTTCTATAGCATTTGCAAAGAGAGAACGCCATGCATGGGGTTTAGGCGTTAAAAAGTCAAAGGGACGAGCGGTCTGCTTCCATCTGTACAAGGGCCCCAGTACAGACTCTTCATGGAGCGTCACGCTCTCGGCTGCTCCTTGCCGAGCTCCTGCCTTGGTGAGGCCTAGGGACAAAACAGCGGGTCCTTTGGGAGATGGAATGAAGACGTCCTTTGCCTTTAGGTCCAAGAGTTCTCCCGTTCGCAGAAGGCCAAAGAAGGCTATACGTAGGGACAAGGCCATGAGCGGCATCTCTTTCATAAGGAACCATCCGCACATAGCATCAAGAACAAGAAGGGTCATTGGCGGAGCACGTCTGGGTACCTCTGCTGTGGACCAAGCTTTGAGCAACCTCCAACTACCAGCGAGGCGGCGCTTGAGACCTGGTTCCTTGTCTTGCAGGGCAGCAAGGGTATTATTGGCTGTAGATTTGCTCTCACCTGTGGCCCAGAGATACTCAAGGTAATCCGACACGATGTGATCCATGGCCTGAACACGCTTTGGGAGAGTAAGACCCTCCCCTGCCAACCAATCCACAAATTTATCAAGACAAGACTGATAACGTTCACGCGTCCGTGGTTGCACCGTCAAACCTTTCAAGCTACCGAGCTGTTTCCTGACTTTGATACGCTGTTGTTGACTACGGCCTTCCATCACTTTTGTGGCTTTCTTACCCATTTGCGCCGGATGGGCCGCCTCGAGGGGCGGTCTGCTGGGTTTTGGTGCGTGTCCACATAGGACCACGCGCCCACTGAGCCGCTTGCCAACAACAGAGCACCAATCTTTGCCAGGGTTCGACGAAGTTTCCGGCTTGAGGACCGGCCACGTGAAAGGGCGTGCAACACCACCAAAGAATCCACAAGATGGACGAAACGCGTGGGACCTTCCTGCAACTCCTTTATGCGCCAAATAAGGCTTGTCTTGACTGCCCTCAATTCAAGAGCATTGATGTGTTCGGGATCACCTGTCCTCCAGCCAATGACATCTCGCCAGCGCCACAACTTGCTTGGGAGGGATGCTCGCAGCCGATGGTACCTAGCTGGAATATCAGAGCTCATCTGTAGCAGGATATCCTCCCCTTTGACCGACACTTGCCCAAGCAGCTTGCGAACAAGCCCTGGACCAGCCTGTGTGCCTCGTGGGTCATGACGAATAGGAGCCCTCAATAACAACCCAGCAAGCTCCGAAGCATTCCCTGGCACAAGCCGGTTGACAATGTCCTGTAGGGTCAGGTAGGGCATCCAGCCCAGCACGCGAAACAAGGAATAGAGCAACACACACACCACAGGCACCGACCAAGAATTGCCAAGCAGGCGAAGGCGACAGTCGTTATGCTCAGTGCTTCCTTCCTTTTCCTTGACCATGCAACGACGAGTATATTCCAAGGGAAACCCCATGATGACCTCCCGCTGCTCACGGGTTGATGGAACGCGCAGATCACCTTTCCTGTTAACCACGCAGTTTTCAGCACGGTATTGGTATGGCGGAAACCTGTGTGCATCTGTCTCCCAACGAGTCACTGCATCTGGAGGGCACAAAGGCAGACCCGCGGGCTTGCGCCCCGGCTTCATCGACGGCCTGGCGGTCGTGAAAGTGGGGAAAGGGCTGTCATGGTTAACCCGCTCCCAACCTGGCTCCAAGAAGTCCTCATCAGAGACCTGAGCACTGAGTAGCAGACTTCCTCGCACTGGGAGGTTACGGTCCCTCCCTTCCACAATGGTGCATCCTTCTTGTGGCAATATGTCCCAATCGCACCAATAGAGGCGTGGCCGCCTAGCCAGGGAGATGCCTCCGGCGTCCACCAGCCACGGTTCCACCTGGTAGGCTGCATTCATGGAGGCACAATCCTGCTTATCCATGGAGGCGACGTTCTCGATCAACCGAAATGTGGGACACCAGCGGAAGACTTGCTTGATCAGCGCTTCAATCCTGGGGACCTCCTGGAACAGAGATGATCTGGCATCGCGCATTGCGCCCTTCCGATCGGCGTTTAAACCCGACACACCTTGACACGGCGGTCCGGCGCCTAAGATCACCATGGACACTGACGCGAACCTCAACGACCACTCTGCCACATTCTCAAGGGTGACCTCAGCGACATCTCGGATTCTAATCACATCAGGGAAGAAGGACTCAACCACACGACTTGCAGCATCATCGATTTCAACTGACACATAACCTGCCACCGGGACCCTCAAGCAATCAAGCGCAACCCGCAAGGCTCCTATCCCATCGAACAACGAAATGACGAGCACCTGATCCATCTCCTCAGGCGCCAGGATATCCCCACGGGCTTCCGCCTGTGATGCTGCCATACCGTAGGGGCTGACTCCCCGGGTGACGCACAGCCCGCCTCCTGTGGTAGAAGCGTCGCTTGCTGTCACATATTCCGACACGGGCAACCTGAAGTTCATGAAAGCCAGAGGACTCAAAGCGACGAAGCGGATCAACTCAAGCTCCACATCCTTCCCCAAGGGATGCCGGACATGGCTGCCAGCATCCTTCATGCTGGTGATCTTCTTCCAGATAGCGTTCAACCCCGAAAGCAACGGGCGACGGAACATGGCGATGTAGACAAAGCCCCCGCCTATCACCCGCAATTCCCTACGGGTTGCCTTTCCTGCGATGACAGCCTCACACGCCAACCCCAGATAGCGAGTAATCTTGGCGTACTTGGGAGTAGCTGTGCCCTTACTCCCATCAACCCAGGCAACCTGCACTTCTGCACCTGTCGCTTGTTCGACCGCTTTCTTCGGGTGACGAGGTAATCCCAATGAGGTATAAGTCTCACGGATGGCCAACGTCCAGTCTGATGGTGTGCCTTCGATCAACCCTGCCACTCGTCGATCAACCTTCCGCAGCTC